ACATTCGGAATTCTTGTGTTAGAATGTATAACAGAGATTATATATCTAGTTCTAAATTCAGAAGGATCATGTGCTCTTCTCATTAAACACAACTCAGCATGGACCCTGCGCCAGCGGAATTCATGGACTCTCAGAATATGACTTCGCGGACTGTTTTGTTAGTGACTTTTGGCCTCCCTCTGCCTCCTCATGGATAGACAGATGTCACACATGGCCCCAGTCTCATGTTGTTGATGACATAGTGAAAAATGGTTGCCACTTTGTAGCAATCGGACACAAGCTAGGAAGACATGAAGACCATGAATGGAGAATGTCTTTCTCTCTGGCAGAACAAAAACTTGTGTTTGCAATGAACCACTGTCAATTCCTAACGTACGGTTTACTTAAGTTGTTCTTAAAAGAAATCATTAACAATGAACTCGGTGATGATAATAATTTATTGTGTTCCTATCACATGAAGACAGTGGTTTTCTGGGTGATTCAACAAAATATTATAACTCACTGGTGTCCACAAAATCTCCTGGGGGGTTTCTGGGTCTGTTTTGAACTCATTCTTAAATGGGTGTATGAGGGGGTCTGTCCCAACTTTTTCATTGCAGAAAACAACATGTTTCGTAGTAAAATTTACGGAGAAGTACAGCATCAATTATTCATTAGACTGTATGGATTGTATAAGAAGGGCTTAGCAATCTTGTTACACAGTCCTTCCATTAGTTCATATATAATAAATGTCCTTCAAAACCCCAGACTCTACATCTGTACAGATGATCATACTCTGATTTCTGAAGCTGAGTTAGACGCAAACCTGTTTTCAGAAATAAATAAACATGACAACATATTCGCATCAAATCTTCAAAGGAATATGAAATGTTTACATATTGTTTAACAGATATTAGGTTCACATCCTTTCACAGAGTATCAATTACTGTAAATCACTTTTTATTCGCGAGAACTTTATTTTCGCGTAATTACGCGAGACAATGAGATCGCAAAAATTTTATTTACGCGTATAAAAGTATTCTGTATGATAATATAGAGTAAAAACAAGAATTCGTGAGAATTATGTCTCGCTAATGAAGAGTCAATGACTATCTCGCGTAAATAAGGTGTCGCGAAAATTTTGTGATCTACAGTACTTATGCTACAGAGAATAACAGTGTCTGCCCTTCAGAAAACAGCTTTCATATTAGACATTGATACATACACACATAAAAAGAAACTGAGGTATATAGCTGACAAAATCTCCGGTCACATGCTGAAATTAACAGCCAAGTTCGGTTGTATTACGGACATGCTGTACATAGCCATGTATCATTATAAGAAACTTAAATGCATTGAAGCTTTAACTATTATAGAGATGATCAAGGTCAAATTAGCACAGCCTTATGTGTTGCATAGGATAATTGGGGATGAAGAAATGTATGTTGAGGCTTTAGGGGGACAGTCCTGGTTTATGAAGTTTAGAGAAGCAGCTGTATGGAATATCAAACTGAACAGTAACATCCTTTACATCAATGAATTGATACTAGAACAACAGTCTGCTCTACAGAATAACTGGCCTGCAATATTTATCCCACCCAATATACTGTTATACATGTTAGAGATCTTGTGCTACAGACATGTAGACACAAAGAGAGTACATAAAGCTCTAGATGATCTACAGACCCTAATTTACTGTGATCAGAGACAGTATATACCATTCAGAGATATATCATGGCAGATTCTGGGGATCTGTCAACAGGTGACAGGGAACTTCCAGGCTGCTCTATACTCATACCAACAATCTCTTAGGCAAAAACCATATCACAAAATACAAACAGCTACAATTATCAGAATTATTATATTGGTGTTCAGACTTTATTTCAATTAATTGTTGTTTGTAAACTTAAGGTAGTTATACGAATAATATATATTGTGGCAGATTCTTGGGATCTGTCAACAGGTGACAGGGATCCTCCAGGCTGCTCTATACTAATACCAACAATCAGACAAGAATCATGCCACAAAGTACAGCTGAAGGGAAGAGAATAAACGAAATTTTCATATAAAATACTTCATATTGTTAAAAACTGATTAGATATTTTCATGATTTCTTTTTGCCGAAATTCCATAGCCAAATTATTCTCGTGAAACCTGTTTTGGGCCAGTTTATGCTTTATAATCTGCGAAAGATTATTAGAATCATAAAACAACTATGGGTTTAAAATTTTTCTTGCTTTATATTAGTTTATTTGACGCTCAATAACACAATTGTAGTAACGGAAATAATGAGTAGCATTGGGAGGTAAAAGATGAAACATAGGCCTAGCAACTTTATCGTTGTTTCGATGTAGTAAAATCAAGCTACTGATTGAAATTAGTTTCATTCATAAAATCTGGAATTTTCTATGAATCCTGATGAATGGAAACGAGGATTGCATTAATAAAGACAATTCAGCTGGTTGTCAGGGAGTGTGTCCCCATATCAAACAAGGTTATACACTCGAAATAATTTGCGCTCCTTATTTTGAAGGATATGGAGATAACGAACTGTATTCAAAATCAAAGGCCATAAAAGAAAACAAAACAGGAGCAGAGAAAACATGGACCTCCGAAACATCAGAGGTTGGATCAAATGCCATTGAGGAGTGAGCATCCCCTGCTGACCGGTCACACCTGCCGTGTTCTCCTTGTCATGATCGGGAAATAGCAGAAAAATCCGTTGTCAATTCAATGTATAAATAATGGACTAATAATTAGTATGAAAAACGTCAGCCAGTATTTAAATTTCTTTTAAATGTCATTGATGTTATAATAAACAATTAATTTGAAGAAAAAAAATTGTTTGTTCTCGATTCTTTTCAAAACTCAAATACATTTAAGTTACATATGTATATAAAACTTAATCAAGTAAAGTATTTCATTGTGTATTTACTGGAAAAAAAAGCTAGTCATGCGTGTTTGACACATTTTGAAAACAACACTCATGGTAAATTTTGAAAGTATGTTATATGTTACAAAAGCATTCCTGAGGATCATGCCAGAGACTTTAAGGTCTTAGATTGGTCCATAATTATTTACATTATCATCAGGGATATAATTGTCTAACAGATCTAAAACAGAATCAGTCAATAAAACACATAAATTGTGTAGAACACAACTTGAAGTAACTAGATTTCAAGCTCTTTCAACAGGTATCAGTGGCGGATTAAAGGGAGGGGGGCGCACCCGGCGCGCGCCCCATAAGATTATCAAAGTAAGCGTAAATCACAGTTTCGTTTAGAAAGTGTAAATATATCTACTTGGTAGACCTCTTTTTACCCTACAAAAGCAGTATTTCATGTAGCTGAAGGTAATATTGAATATGATCACACTGGAAAGAAAAATAACGACCTCAGCTGTGTGTAGGTTGATAATGTTTTTCTTGAGGTTACATTTTTCGTGTTTATAATAAAATCTTCTTCAAGGGAAGAATCACCCGCGTTGCCCCATACCGGTAGTTAGAGCGTCTGCTCTAGAGTTGAGAGGTAAGTAGTTGTTCTGTACGAAGCGGGATCGAATCCCACTGTGGTACGCGGAGAGCGATCCCCCGTATAAACCAAGGTCCCGTGTCCCAGTAGGAGCTTGCATGAATAAAAAAACCCTCATTGCTCAATGGTTGCGCCTGTCTAGTTTAGTGCAAAATTTGCATCACTCCACCGGCGTGGTGGTGTTTCCATATAAGTGGAAAATTATCAAATGGGACGTTATATAACATAAAATAAATTCTGAAAGGAGGGAAAATCCAGAGTTACAGTGGAAAAAGCTTTCAAAAATAATTTTTATTCCATTCGATTAATGGCACTATACTCTTGAAAATGAAACAAATCATAATATGTTACCAAACAGGATAGAAATGGGGATAGCATATACAAAAGTTTAATCAATAAGAGTTTATTTAGAGGATCATAGCTGAATTATCAGGCTAGATTAGATATTAGAGTGGATTTTTAAACACTTTTTGACCTGAAGTTTTATTTCCACATTCACCAATTAAATATGTTGAGTCCTTGATGTTGAACTTTTGTAAAGTGAACAGCTGAACAGGAACAAGGCTATTTAATTAATATTGATATTTGTTATGTAATGGCACGTTATACAGAGTTTTAACTCTGACTTTAAATGCACAGAATATAGGACTATATCCCTAAACTTTCACTTTCTCAAAGTAAATAATTAAAGTCTTATAATGTATTCCAATTTGTGGTTCCATCTCTTACGAATAAAATTCATTTATTTATATAATATATAATGTTTACGTATGTTTTGTTAGAATTTATATACAAGTATGATTCCATTAATTAATAAAAGACATCACTTATTTTCAAATGATTACAAATCATAAATATTATTGTCCTTTTTGTCATGAAATATAGGAATCTTAAAATAGGGACAGATTCTTAACTTTCTATTTTTTTCATATAGTAATAAAAAAAAACTAAATTAAATTTTTCATATAAGATTTTTATTCAAACAATTATTAATATAAATCTAGAATGCATTGAGGTAAAAGAAAACTGTCGATAAATTAATTTATTATCAGTGATCCTAGGGAAAAAAAACTAAACGTAAAAATATATCTTAACCTAAAAGTAGGAAATATTATTTAAAGGCTTTTTTACTCCTTTTATTAATTCATTTTTCCGCCATTCAAATTAATAATATTTTATCATACTTATCTATCGACAAACATTTATGAAAATAATGTTCAGCTTTCAGGGTTCAAGCACAAATTTTTGAAATGATCAGATAATTCCAGGGTTGTTCAGAAAATGTGATATGAGCAGGAAAAATCATATACATTGTACTAGATTATAAACTGTGTATAAGTTAAAATTTAACAAACATCTGATTTTTTCTGAACACATTAATTTTAGTAATTACATTCTTGAAATCCCGCACTGGTGTTCTAATCTCTGTAGCTGTTTGTATTTTGTGATATGGCGCATGTCTGAGATATTGTTGGAGTGAGTAAAATCAACCTAGAGGTTTCTTGTCACCTGTTGACAGATTTCCAGAATGGTCCACGTTATGTCCATGTAATCTAAAGGTATAAGCTGTCCCTCGTCATAGTGAACTAGGGTCTGTAAATCATCTAGAGCTCTTTGTGCTTTGTCTGTGTCTACATATGTATAGCACAAGACCTCTAGCATGTTCATCATTATAAAGGGTGGCACATATAATGAAGTCCCATTGTTATGTAAAGAGGACTGCTGTTCCGGCACTAATTCACTGATGTAATTGATTCTATTCTCAAGTTTGATATAGCATGCCAAGGCCTGTCTCATCTTTGTAGACCAGGTTTGTCCCCCTACAGCTTCAATATACTTCTCTGCATCTACATTTGGCCTGTTCATCAAACATGGCTGTGATAACTTGACCTTGGTCATTTCTATAATAGATAAAGCTTCCATGTATCTATGTGTCTTGTAATAATACATGGCTATGTACATCAAGTCAGTAATACAACCGAATCTGGCTGCTAAGTTTAGCATGTGACGGGAGATTTTGTCAGATATATACCTCAGTTTGTTTTCATGAAAATAAGCCTCCGTGTTTAATATAAAAGCAGTTTGCTGTAAGAAAGAAGCTGCAAGTCGTCGTAGCATAACGACTTGATACTGTGTCAAAAGAGGTAAACTTATCATATGTTCTAATGTCAGTAGATATTTGATACAATCGTTTAATTCGAGTGATGATCCATAGGTACGCATTTCATAAAAGAGTTCGATATCAAAATTAATCTCGGGAATCAGAGCGTGTTCATCTGTACAGATGGAGAGTCTGGGGTTATGGATGGCATCAATAATGTAAGAACTGATGGAGGTAATGTCTAGCAAGGAAACAAAACCTTTCTCATACAACCCATACAGTCTAATAAATAGCTGATGTTGTGCTTCACCATAAATTTTACTCAGAAACATGTTGTTCGCCGGAATGAAAAAATTAGGACAGACTCCCTCATACACCCATTTAAGGATAAGTTTAAAACAGACCCAGAAACACCCCAGGAGATTTTGTGGACACCAGTGAAGTATTGTACTTTGTTGAATTACCCAGAAAACGGCTGTCTTCATGTGATAGGAACACAGTAATTTATCATCATCATCTAACCCACGGTTAATTATTTCAGTTAAGAACAATTTAAGCAAGCCATAAGTTAAGAATTGACAGTGGTTCATTGTGCACACAAGTTTATTTTCTGCCAGAGAGAAAGAAATTCTCCATTCATGATCTTCGTATATGCCTAGCTTATGACCGATTGCTACCAAGTGACATCCGTTCTTTACTATATCATCCACAACATGAGGTCGGGGCCATGACTGACATCTGTCTATCCATGCGGAGGCAGATGGAGGCCAAAAATCACTGACAAAACAGTAGGCATTATCATATTCTATTTCTCCATCAATCCCGCTAACGCAGGGTCCATGTGGATTGTCATTAAATGGTGATTCAGAACACTTGATCTGTGTATATTTAGAGCTAGATATATAATTCCTGTTCTTCATTCTAACACAAGCTTCCTGGACATGTCTGTCCATGCTTGGTGACAGAAGATATAACAAAATGAATCCTGGTGGACTATCAGAACAGTCACAGAGGATCAGTGTAACTGTTTTTCTATGTGTGTTGTAATACTGAGACTGAGATAAGTCCCAGAGCACACGGTGATTATTTGGCCAGAACATCGTATCTATATCTGATCCTTTCAGTCTGAATCCTTCTCTCTTACTTCCACTCATCATTTCACTGTTCTCATCAATTGTTCTTACATGGTTTTCCACCATTTCACAGATGTCCGCCAAATCTCTCCTCATAGCCACTAGTTGTGAGGTACCAATTTCATCACAAAGTCCCTCGAACATTGACTCTGATATATGTTGTAAGGCAGTTTTGCTGAAAAGATTTATGTCAAATTTCTGTATCTTATAAGTATGGTATTCCGTTTGATTAAATCAAAATTACCTTTTTTTGTTATGTATTTCTACTTAAGAAAAAATCTCGGTATAAATTGCCGCATAATTTAAAAAAAAATTTTCTTTTGTCATCAGAATATTATTTGCTTTTTCATCTAATCAGCATCTAATAAAAATGTTATACGTAATAGGGAATATTCTATGTTAACAGTCAGGTTTTATAAAAATTAACATTGATTAACTAGTAATTACACATTGTAAAATTATTAAAAAGCTAAATTAAAATTAATTAAGTGTAAGAAACTTACAGATTTTATTTTGCTTCATGTTCACTGGATGTTCATAACTAAAACATGTTTTGTGTACATGCACATGCTTTATATTAACATTAAATTCTAATACCTATGATTTGTATTTGTTAAAAGAATTGTTAATAAAATATATTTAGGTGGATTAAATTGTATTAATTTGCTGTCATTAAAACTTACACGCTTGAAGTTGTATTAGAGTCCATTTTTACAAGGAAGATTTGGAAACTTTCACGGCTTATAATTAGTGCTAACAAAATCACACTATACTTTCGTTTCATCTAAAATGTTTATAATGTACAGATAAATCTTTATAATGTACAGGTACTTAATTTGTGAATCTGATAATGTGGAAGTACAAAGTTGGAATGGTATTTATTAAGCCCTGTACATTTATATATTTATATATATTTTACATTATGAAGAATTGGATGTTTAATTTGTTTCTAGAACAAGATGATTTAGTTCCCTGACAAAAAGGACACACCCACCATAAGCCCTACTTATACTAGTAATATATCTACAATTGCAAATTTGCTTGGAATTACAATCATTGAACAAATATTTAGTATAGTATAAATAACTAAGAGAAAGCAATCTTTATCAAAAGGATACACCTGACACGAGCCCTATTTATTGATCTGGTAGTAAGAGTAATCCGTAGTCCAAATTTTAGCATTAAACAATGGTTAAAAAATAGGATACAAACATGTCAGACAAATAAAGACCCAATAATTTTTGCAATACTAACTTTTGGAACATTAACGCTTTTGTCAGTAGCCTACCTCAGATTAAAAATGATCTTACTCAGAGCATGCTAATTGATTAGTAAATAAGTTTGGAGCATAAACACTATTTGGAAATGAAGGGAAGAGTTAAGATGATAAAGGCAAGAAAACCGTACACTTCATTGAAATGGAAAAGAAATAAACAAGATTGGGTCAGTGTTAGCAGATGCAGATAAATCTATGCTTAATTCAAAACATGCGTTATTCAGAGAGAAAAAATATAAACTATATATAATCCATAGTTTACACATTATAAACTATAAAAACTATAGTTTACATATTGTAAAACTGTATTTATCAAAAAATCTATATCTTGTGATCGCAAAAGATTGTTTTCAGTGTTAGGTATAATTTATGGTTCTGAAATATAGATAATCATGCACGTAAACAATGGCTTACAAATGTAAAATATAGATTATCGTTGTTAACTATAGTTAACAGTCCGTTAACTATAGCTTACAAGCGATTCGACACAGCAAATTTACTCATGTAATTATTGTGTATGCGTTTAGAATGCTCCGGAGCTATAACAGGAATATGCTTTCAATTCATCACCCCACTACACTTTAGCAACCGAAGAATTTTTTCAAACTTTCTCAGTTTTTTTTTAACTGAGGCAAGCTACTAACAGATATTTCGATGTATCAGAGATTTCAAGTAAGCATTTCGTAAGTAATTTTTTTTTCTCTGTCATATTATTTTCACTTTCCGTTACGGTAAGAAGGATAATTATGGAGATAACGAACAGTATTCAATCTCGAAGTCCATAAAACAATACAAAATAGGAGCAGAGCAAACACGGACTTCCGAAACATTAGAGATGGGATAATGTGCCATGGAGGAATGAGCATCCCCTGCTGACCGGTCACACCCGCCGCGTGCTCCGTGTCATGATCGGGAAATAACGGGAAAACCTGTCGTTAATTCAGTGTATAAATAATGGACTTACAATTATGAAAAACGTCAGTCAGCATTTGACTTAATGATCAATTGTATTGGCTGACAAGGTCATTGTATCGACCATAGAACTTACGAAATTATGACTTTAAACGAGACGAGATTCTTGTTTCATCAACTTGCTTGTCAATTATTTACCTCGTTTTAGAAATTACTCCGTATGCAGGTGATGAATGTATATTGCTGCACAATATAAGTAAGGGATGTTGACGATAGAAAAGTTAAAGTCATCACGTTTATCATATAGCTTGGTTGTTAGATTACCATTAACGTCTTTTTCAAGTAAAATATCAAAGTATGAAACAGATGTTTCAGAATCTTTGGTGTCTTTTATCTCAAGCTCACCAGGATATATCGTATCGACGTAGGAATGGAAATGACAATTGTTAATTGACAATACGTCTCCAATATATCTAAGTGTCGAGTTGAAGGCCACAAAAAGTGTTTTCTTCTTTTCACGCTAAGATTTTGCACAAATGCTGCTTCATTTAAATAGTAAAATAGGTCTACTAATAACGGAACACAATTTGTACCCATGGGAATTCCAATCGATTGCTGGAATACCTTGTCTCCAAAAACCACATACCCGGTAGATATTGTCAATCAGAAATTCAAGCAGCTCTTTGATGTCAACTTCAGAGTACTTGTGTGTGAAATCAGAATGTGTTTCAACAAAATAATTTTGCAGATGACCAATGACCAGGTACGTAAATTTAGTAGTTCCATTTTTATTGAAAAAGCAGTTGTCAATGATATCAAAATGCCTGGACTTTGATTTTTCTTTGGGAACGGTTGTGTATAAAGTTGAAAAGTCGCAAGTTTTTTTAAAAGCTGTTGATTTAGGTAAACTCTTGTGATTTCAAATTGTCTAAAAGTTCTTTGGAATTTTTGAGTATCCAGTGTATTCCCCTTGATTGCTTCCTTTGAAATTATCCCTCTTTGAGCTACTATTTTTAAATACGTACCGGTATGTATGACAGAAAAAATAATTGGAACTTTTGTTTATATAAATATTACATAACTTATATAAGTGAAAAAAAAACCTCTTATCTTTGACTCACAATCAAGTTTAATGACAAATTTAAAATTTGGTGAATAATGAAGGAATCGCTGCCTGTTGACCTCTAAAATGATGGCATACAGAAAATAACTCACGCTAAAATTTGTAGTCACCATTTCGTAAATTCTATGGTCGATACAATGACCTTGTCAGCAAATACAATTTATCATTGAGAAAAATGCTGAGTGACGTTTTTCGTACTAATTGTTATTCCATTATTTATACACTGAATTGGCGACAGATTTTTACGCTATTTCCCGATCATGACAAGGAGCACACGGTGGGCATAACCGGTCAGCAGGGGATGCTCACTCCTCCATGGCACCTTATCCTACCTCGGATGTTATGGAGGTCCCTATTTGGTCTGCTTCTATTTTGTACTGTTTTATAGACTTTGATATTGAATACTGTTCGTTATCTCCATATACCTCTTGAAAACTTTTTAAAATTCTATATTGGTTATAATAATTGTGTAAGCAGTGATAGTCATTGGGTCATTTGGCTGACTAATTTCATTCAGATTGGTAGGCCATTGATTTACATTGAATTCGACTGCGGAATATTATATCTACCTGATCAAAACATTGCTGTGGCGCAGTGGTTAGGGTGTCTGCTCTAGAGTCGCTAAAAAGGAGTTGATCCTTACGTCGGGGGTTAGAATCCAACTGTTAGACTTGGAGACCGGTCCTTCGGATGAGACCGTATAAACCAAGGTCCCGTGTCGCAGTAGGCTCTGGCACGAAAAAGATCCAACCCTTCTCAATGGCTCCCAGTGACGAGTATGACAAAACTTACAGCTCTCCACCCGTAAGTGGTTGCGTCTCCATATAAGTGAAAAATGCTCGAGAGGGACGTTCAACAACATACAATCTATCAATACATTGCTATAGAACTGTAAGAGAATGTGAAGGTTTCACAGGGGATGCTTACTCCCCGTGGACAACTGATCACATCTCTAGAAGTTAATTTCAGGGGTTCGTGTTTATTTCCTCTTCAAACATTATATTTTTCTAAGATTTTTTCAGATAAATCAACGTTTGCGATCTTCACCCATTTCATTCTTTTTTCTGAAAAACACATTTATATTCTCCAAACAAATGTTCCAAAAATGAACTCGCAAACTTTATGTACGCAATCAAACATTGTAGCATTACCAACACCAAAAAGATTTCCATTTGTCTTATATTCTACTGAAGACGCCAACCAGCAGCTTGCAATATCCACCTTCTTCTTTACACCCAACAATTCTTGATTTTAAAGTCATTTACACAGAAGTCAAAGCATTTTCCAACTTTTAACAAAATGTTAAGAAATCTTCTTTATAAGTCATAAATTTAATTCGATCGAATCAATCAGTAGGTCGGATTTATTTTGCCCCCGTAATCGAAGATTCGGGGGTACCGGTAAATATTTTTTGTCATGTCCGTCCGTCTGTCTACCTGTCTGTTTATCGATCTGTCTGTCTGTTTGTCTGCAAAAACTTTAACATTGACCATAACATTTGATTAAGTGAAGCTATGACTTTCATGTTTCACAGGTGTATTCCTTGTTACAAGACCTTAATTAAGGTGCCACCAAATTTGACATTTTGACCTTGAACTTATACAGGTAGTTTGACCACTTTTACACAAAAATTTCAATTTTTTCAGCAATAACATTTGAACAGTAGATACTAGGACTTTCATACTTCACATAATTCTATTTATGTGACAAGACCTTCCACTGGATACCAATAATAAAAACGATTACCTTGTGACTTTGACCTAGGAGATTTACGTATTTATGAAAAAAAACAACAACTTTATCCTCGGTCATAATTTTTGAATAGTTACTGCT